GTCAACAGGAGTGATCTGAGAAGCACAAATCGACATTGAGTCCAGCTAAGTTGAAGTTGCAATCGAAATCACAGTGTTTAACTCTTATTCACTGCCTATTGTTTTTTTTACGGTAGGGTACTATGTGAAATACAGTTACAATGATACTAGAGAAAAGGGTACAGCAGAAAGCTCTCAGCGTTGACCAATCTCCGAAGGATGTGCCATGCATTCGATTTCTTTAAGCGTCGTTTGGAGATGACTGAATGCATATCTGGCCTTTACAATGACTAGCGGTGTACTAGCGATGTATCAAGCCTAGCCAGTACTGATATCTTCCCAGATAAGTCTGTTGCCAACTTGCCGACCCCGGAGGGATGGAAGCCTTGATGGACAATTGGCGCGGGGATCGATCCCACGTGTGTGTTGCAGGGCTTCTCCAACCACTGCGCCACACGAGCCCTTTGAATGGTATTAATGATACTGAAATGTGGAAAAGATGGGGAATTATGGAAAAGTATTAGGAAGTAAATAACAATCAAACATTGTGCTCTTGCAACTTTTGGAGGTCTTAACGCAGCGAAAGGACGAGAAAATTGCTGAAACCTTTACGATATCTGAAGAAAAAGCATCTGAGTTAATTGTTCGGGATAATGTATATTTTCTGCCAGCTGTTGACATAAACGGCAGTGAACGAAAGCTTCGCCTAGGTATGCTTTGCCAAACAGTATTCTCCAATAGGTGGATTTTATTTTGCTCTTCTATTCTATCAAAAGCCATGAATACTGTGACTGGGGTGTACATGGAGGGCGATTCGAAATCATCTTCAACATGTAAGTTGTACATTTACTACAGAGAAGCATAATGAGGTCAATGATGACCTACTGGTGATTAACATAGGCACCTACTTCCCTGGCCTGTGGTTAGGTATAGTGAGGCGTCCGCGTCAAAACAATGAAAATAAAGCGATTAATATCAAAAGTGTCATGCTACACCTTCCCTAAACCAGTGAGCATAAGGACGGGCCAAGCTGCCTTAAGTTACTCGATGAACGATGGCATTATTAGCGATACAGGTGAAATTACTACTTATAACCTAATATAACTGTAAATTCCTTGGTTTATCAACCTGACCTTCTATTGAAAAGAATTCATCTGACTGTAAATACCCCAACCTAACTGGATAAAAGCGTTCAAATTTGTCATACAGTAACCGAGCATCTGATCAGATTGGGTGGAATATTTGAAAAGTGGTTTTCCTTCTTCATTCTAGCTTTTGAGCCTAGAAATATCCAATCTAGGAAGTCATTTGAGTCTAATAATCTTAGCTTAGGAGTTAATGGTGGTTGAGGATGCTGTAAGCCACTCTTGCTTATATTTCGTCATCGTGCTGAGAAGAACGTACTCATCATTTATTTGATGGTATTTGACCAAGGAGAAATAACTTAACATAAAGGTTGGAATAGAAGTTCTGGTTCAGGAAGTGCTAATCTATTTCTACACTATAGTGTCTTCTTTAAAAGTACGAGTAAAGTTTACAGAAAAGTAGGGAACCACGCTGGCCGCTTCCATTTGCAAAACTACTAAGTTTTTCCATTGTTGATTGCCATTGAGGAGGCCATTACCTTGCAGAAAGTGAGCCGTTGCCTAGAACCTGGTTCATCTTTCCGAATATTCCACTTTTACAAAGAAAAATTTTCTTCTTGTATTAGGTAAAAGTGTATGACGTAAGTTATTCTGATATCGCTGTTTCAATACAAGTAAAACTACCTTCATTAGCATTAATCACGAATAGTAGACTTAAGACGGAGTGCATGACATCAACTGAGGCATTGCAACTGAAATGCGGTTGTGCTCGGAAATCGTACTTAGGCAGTTTTTATTTCTCATTGTTGGTAAGGTGCTACGTGTAGCGCAGTGGTGGTGGATGCCCTGCAAAACACCCGCCGTCATTGGTTCGATTCCGCGATCTGGGTCCGCCAAGCCTTCCGTCTCTCTATACCGGAAATTTCTGGCAAACTTCTCTGGTAGGGTAGAGGCGTGTTGTTGATACACAGATAGGCTACCCAAATTATTGCATAGGTCCGGCACGCATTAAGTCAACTCTACGAGGCTACGAATGAAGCCGAATGCATAACTATCCTCAGGTATTGATCAACACGAACCGCTCCATCCTTTGCCGTTTATCCCTGACAAAGCCTGTTTTGCCCTACAATAGCTTTCTGTCCTGACACTGCTATTACTACGCCTGAAAAGTATAAGGTTCAAAAAACTGCGTCATGTTCTCGCAATGTGTGTTCCAACTTATTCAGCATTATAAACAGCACTACAGTATAGGATGGAGCAATTCTTCAAAGGTCCTGCGTGATAACGTATATCGTGCACCCTCGAATTGTTGGTACGACCGGACATACTGGGCTTGAAGTAGATTAGTCTTTAATACCACTATCACTGGCTTAGAATGACGATGCTTGAGACATGAACCATACTATTTTACAATGGAATGTATTCAGGTGGAACTTCCAAATAGATTATTGTTTGTAACTATTGGAAAGTTCCAAAAAGTAAAGTTTGATATCACAATGTTTTACTTTTATTTTCTGCCTGCTGCAATTTTTACGGCAGGATGTTATGCGAAATACAACACAACGATGCTGAGATATTTGCAAAACTCCGGAGCGCAGGTGTCTTCTGCGGTGGGAAACGAACGCACTGTTACCCTTCCCGGGTACAAACGCGTTCACCACCACACCATGTGGGTCCTTCGTTCCGCCTGTCTCTCAGCTAGCTCTATCGATCATTGCCATCAGCAAGCACCCGTCAACGGGATTGATCTGGGGATTCCACATCGGCATTGAACCGGAAAGGGTAATAGCTCGTTCATTCGCCTCCGCAGACCACTGCGGTCCCGAGTCTTGCAAATATCTGAGCATCATTGTGTCGTAAAGCTTAATAGTATTTAAAAATCGAAAATTTATATGTTTGAAAGCAAAAAAGTCGCGGTGGGCTATATAACGAGATACTATGGTAGAATTTTTTATTTGTTAAGAGCGGCCACAGCAGCCAAAAATAACAAGGAGTACTTACTTGAATCTTCCGTCGAAGTTCTAACAGTAAAATGTTTTCTTCCTTTGATAAGCTTACACGAGGTTGATAATGATGTTTATTTTCGGCTAACGTTTCGACGTCTTTGTCTTCCTCAGAGCCGATGATCCGAGTCGACGGTCCTCGCTCGTTATTCGTCTCGACGTGGCAGCTTTGCCTTCGTGTCGAGTCAGGTCTTCTTCAGTGATCCATCTCCTCGAAATGAAGCATCCTTACTCACTGATGCCCTTTTATACACGATGCTGATGGTCGATATAATGATTTGATAATGAGATTGATATTGATAATATATATATTATTGATATATATATATATTTGATTTGATAATATAATGATAATGAGTCAAATGTTTCTTCATAAAGTGTGACATTATTGGTATAAGGATAAAAAAGGATAAAGCTCTTCGCGTTGATCAGTCCCTGAAGGATGCGCCATGCATTCGACTTCATTAAGCATCGCTTGGAGGTAATTGAATGCATATCTGGCCTTTACAATGACTCGCGGTAGCTTATCGATGTGTCGAGCCAGTGCACCTGTCCTCTGAGATAAGTCTGGTACCAATTTGCCGACCCCGGAGAGATGGAAGGCTTGGTGGACAATTGGCGCAGGGATCGATCCCACGTGTGTGTTGCAGGGCTTCTCCGACCACTGCGCCACATGCGGCCACATTATCGGTATTAGCAAATATCAAGGGGAGCAGATTTTGTTCTTTTTATGACTTCCGGAGAAGAGTTAGAAAGCCAGCCAGTATTATTTCGTGGAGAAGAATCAGTTTTATATCTACACTACTGGCGATGGTGCTGTTGACATACCGTTTAGACCAGCGGTCTTCCCACTTCACTAATGCCATTTGATTATGTATTCTTGAGAGCTCCGACGAAACCGTAGTTTAGTGTTCGCACCAGCTTTCCGTCAAGGTGTAAGCGCGCCTTATGGTTATTTAGCCAAATTAGGACGATGTCTGCTATCAGTCGATGCCAATATTTCTGTTCTTGAGACAATACAAGAAGGTATTGATTATTATCACTGAGGTTAAATGACGGTCGGCATAAAAATTGTAGTGCAATTTATTTGCCTTTTTGGATTATTAAACTAACACGATGTTAATAAAAAGGCTTATTCAGCTAAGTTTTCGACATGTTCGTCTTTTTTAGGGCCGATGATCCAAGTCGATGGTCTCCAGTGGTTTGCAATGTGGTGTCTTCATCGTCATATCGAGTCGGGTAATTTCCACTGGAGCACGACTCGAGCAAAGTAGTCTCACTAGTGAAAAATAACTTGCCTTTATTTTTATCTTACACAACCCAACATCGCCTGTTGTATGGATCCCAACACTTACTGCATTCGATTCGTAACCTCACACCCGTCTTCCGATGTGAGGTGGACCATATGTGGTTCTGACCGCTGCTTTAGGATTTCTTCATCCATTTAACGAATGCCGTTGAATGCTGCTTTCCCGAACCGTGGGGACCAGGGCGTTTCCCAGATCCTCATCGTAGGCAGACGGAGGGTTTGGCGAGTCCGGTGCACGGTCGAAGCAAAGTCTACTTCGTATTGAACGACATCACTACCATCCCAAAATGAAGATGCAAGACAGAGTTCTATCATACAGTTTATTACAATCCACATACGATAAAGTATTGGAATATATTTGAGTTGTTATCAACAGGATAACCACTAGGGAAATCCCAACGGTCAAACGGTCAAAATCAACGTGAAACAAACATCGTATCTTTTAAGATTTTTTCTGGCAGAAAGTTTTACAAGGTTTGAAAAAAAGAGGTAAAATCGGAAGAGTGTATAGCTCGGTACACATGGTCTAATTTATGGGTGGAGAACTACGTTGTTTTGTTAGCATTTAGCCGCATCATGTTTCGAAATTCCAAGCACCGTGGAGATGACTACGGCTCGCAGGCATCAGTGGGAAGCGAACTCGTCTCCGAACACAGTGTCCCTGATTCGACCGCAGTACTCCACCAGCGTTGGATAGTGGTCTCTTAGCAGTTCTTTCGCGTAACTGTTCGTTGGAACATACAACACTGTGGCTAGTTGTCCGAAAAGTGTGCAGTCAACCTAAACTTTAACCTTAATGACTTTGTATGATTGATTCGATACGGCTCTTCTCATAGAGCCTAAAAAATCCCAGGCGAGAGAAATGAAATAATTTTATCACCGGTTTTCTTCTGTGAGATCCTTCTGATTAGCAATTTACAGGTCCATGCTTTCGAAGAAAATATTAGCTTTCACTCAAATAATCGAATGTTCAGAAACCTTCATATACGTGGCGGTTTTCATATAATCTAAGCACAGTATAAGCCATTTTTTCATGGTCGAAATTCCTCTCTTTTTTTGAACCGTAGTAGTGCACCCCATTGCCGTGAGGGTTTATATGTCTAGACAACGTAGGGCTTAAGATGATGGTTTCCTGTCAATCAAAAGTTTCAAGCCAGCTGCCCCCTTCAACGGGATGAGCATATTGTAAAACCTCCGTTTTCAATGACGTTTCCACGGCAAACACTTCCATTTAACATGCTGACATAAGGATGTAACTTCACTCTAAAAACACTAACTGACGCCGCTTCTATCCACATGACAAGGAGTTTGACAACTATGTGAAAGCACATAACAAATTAAAGTTCTGTTTGCAAAGATACGTTCATTTGGAAGAATACTAGTACTTCGAGAAGCATTACAAGGACAAATGTTGCAAACTGGCTGGAACAACTCTATGTCATCGATTTGACTGGGTATCATGCACTACAACGAAGTGACGGGAGACTGGAAGGTGATTGGCGTTTTAGAATGCGTTTCGAACGTTCCCATAATAGCTTCCTTGATAGAGTCCTCTCATGAGAGACAGTTTGTTTAGGGTTAAGACGAAATCCCAATCAATAAGCCGGCGGAAGTGACGAATGAGTCAATTGCTAGGTATTAGCATTCCCATGTCTGTGCAGTGTTTCAATTGCTACTTTGGAGGTTGTTTTCTCAACCTATGGCGTTTACTGATAGGAACAAATGTACGAAAAGCGGCGTACTTTCGCACTTTTTAAGTCCAATTCGTCGATGTCCATATTTCAACCTGATTTCTGAAGACGATGTGGGATGAAATAAAAAAAAAGAATAAAGCTCTTGGCGTTGATCACTCCCTGAGGGATGCGTCATGCATTTGACTTCACCAAGCATCGTTTGGAGGTGACTGAATGCATATCTGGCGTGTACAATGACTCGCGGTGGCCTATCGATGTACGGAGCCAGTGCTTCTATTCTCCCAGATAAGTCTGGCACCAATTTACCGACCCCGGAGGGATAGAAGGCTTTGTGAGCCACAGGAGCGGGGATCGATCCTATGTGTGTGTTACAAGGCGCCTCCAACGACTGCGCCACACGGCCCAATCATAGGTTGAAATAAGGTAAGAGAAGCCTAATACGTTGTCATAACTCTGTGCATGCTAGCAGAAATGAGGATGCTCTTACCGAACTGATGTCATCTCCGAAAATAAACTTCTGATCTCCGAGTAGGTCACGGTAAGCATCATAGTCTTTCTGCAGCAGTTCCTTTAATTCTTCACTGTCCAGCTGACCGACTGCGGCTGCGATTTTCTTAGCAGCCTAAATATAACTAGGAATATGCAACTAGAATCGTTAGCGTATGATGCATAACAAACTGAGCTGCACATTTAGCAGTTCTTGCACTTTTTGTGACCTTCGTTAGAATAGGTCTCTTCATCTCTAGTTGTTAAACTTTAGCTCACCGAAAATACTTTAAAGGACTGCTTTTACCTCCTTTTCTGAATTTCTTCCAGGTTATCTCCTTACCCTTCTCGAATCGAATTTGACTTTTACCTTTCTCCTGGCAAGGAAGCCGATAATAGGTGCTACAATAGGTATTAGTACACCAGGACATCCGACATCGCGAAGTGCCATCGAGAATATGTCATTCGTGTTCTGGACCACTTTGAAATTGTACGACACCCTGAATCAAGAATGGTCATTGAATTACCGAAATCGTCCTTTTGAAGGTAGTGGATCAGAAATATCCAATTTTTTCCTCGTTTCTATAAATATTAGCCAGAGGGCTGATCTCGGAAAGTGAGTGAATAACAAGTTTCTAAAACCCAACATTTTACGAAAAGCAATGTCGCAAACAGAAAAAATAATGGTTTAGCAAGAAATAGAAACGGTAAAACTTTCTCTCTACAGCTTTTAGCGATTCGATCAATAACTTTCTCAGGAGGGTGAAACGGCCTTTAAAATAACACTAAAATAGAAGAATATCAGAGTATTGTAGGCGTACAAAACTTGCTAGAGTTAAGAAAAGTGGTAAGACGTATTGTAAGGTGATAGAAATGAATTCGAGCTCGCATAACGCAGCGAGTAAAACTTGCAGACAACACTTATAGGGTCGTTAGTTCGATCTTACGCCCGGGCTGGCCAATTTTTCTCTCAAAAAACACAAGAAATCGTCGCCGGACTTGTCTGGAAGAATAGCAGCAGTAAGTAAATGCATTAGTAAGTCTCCATAAGTCGTTTTCTATGTGAAATGTGCGTTCTATCATGTCTACGATGCACGGTAGAGTTGAACGGATAGCGATAGATAAGCGATTGGTAAACTCCAAACGCTTCATCCTTTCATTCTTCAAAAATAAATTTGAATAAGTTGACAAAGAAACGACGTCCTTACAGAAAGGTGTGAATATCGGCCGTTCGGTCCATAACCCTCGCAGTAGCTTCGTCTCTAATTGAAGGAAGAGGCTGAAAATCACAGTCATATTATTTTTTCGGAAATACTTACAACCAGCTTAACAAATGCATTTTGTCTATGTAGGAACTCTGAAGCCTCTATTCGCCAGAAATCGTATTCGTTTAATGAGTGCCGGCCGTCACCTATCTCTTTGTAATCGCCAAGAATCTTGTTAATCATTGATGTGGTCGTTATCAGCAAAGCTTTGGTTATCCCTCTTGAGTCTCAGAGCTCCCAGGGTAGCGTAGACTCAAGATAAAGTTTTCAAAAGTAGGTATGAGTGGTTGCATTAATAGTTAAAAGCAGCATAACAACTCTTACGTGACACCTTTTATTTTCGGTGGTTTTTGAGAGATGACGCTCACAGCTGTCTTATGAAATCCTTCTGGAATAAGTTTAAGGCGCCATTGTTGCAGACAATCTCGAAATTCTCATACAGCTTTTATTCAAAATGATGAGTGAAATCCATGTGACAAATGAAGAATAATATTTGCTTAAATACTTGAACGGCCGATCTTCACTTCACAGAGTAATAGACGAAAATGGAAGATCTACATATGGAAAACTACTGCATTCTCATGACGTGTAGTTCACTTTAGCCCAAGTTCGCATCTTGTAAAATTCAATGTTGTTTCCCTCTCGCACTATCCTACCTATACAGATAAGATGGGTTAACATTTAGAGCCCGAAGGTGGTTCTTTGTAAAATGCTGATAATTTTTCGATAACTAGAACAGTTGAGGAGCTTACGACAGAACGGCTTACAGAAGCAACTTCCTCTCCTTGTAAGAGTAAGTATGGTTCTTCAGAACTGTTGATAGAATCCTATGGTTATTAGGAATCAAAATTTCTTAAAATAATGAATACCGAACTTGAACTTTTAAAATTCGAAGCGAAATTTTGGCAACTATAGACATTAACATCCTATTTGTGTATACCATTGTGTTCTGTAAGACTTGACAAGGAAAGTTCGCAGGTTTGGGATCCAGAAAATCGGAATCTCATCACGGTAAAAGAAGACGGCTTCCAATTTGTAAAGAAAGACTTTTAAATTGTAAAGGTTTTTGCTGGTGCTAACCAAGTTCACTCTGAGCCGAGATGTTTTAGTTGACAGTTGCTCGCATAGTCCGGCGTGAGTGGAAACCAACTCACATTGGACCCTAGATCATAATCTGAAAACCAATTGGAAAGACCTATGTAGGTTGTAGTCATCAATCAGTAATCCTGTTTTATAACTAACTGCCGATAAGAAAATAATTCTTCAAACAAAGGGAACATTCGAAAAAGTACTTTGCCGAACCGAAATCACAAAAATGTTACCACTCTCAAGAAACTGCCAGCGCTTGGTAAAGCGATATCTCGTGTGCGAAATATTTCGTCTATGTTTCTAACTGCAAGGAAAGGTTCTAGTACTAGTCACATACTTTAATATTGAAATGTTTCGTGAGACGACTAATGATGATCTGCGAATCGGCTATGTGTTCACCGTTCAGCTCGACGAAGGGCAGCAAGCCGTATCGCGAACGTCCCATTAGAAGCGGGCACACCTACAAAAGAACTGAAAAATTATTGAAAACAAATGTAAACGAGAAATGCAACCACAACTGATCTGAGATATTTGTAATACTCAGAGCCTAGGATAGATACAAACTTGGGATTACCTTTTCGGGAGGTCGTTTGTTACCCACTTCACCATTAGATCCTCGCATTTTTTTGGCCGAAAAAAAAATGGTTAAGAAAAAAGCAAAGCATGGTTTGCAATGGTGCAATAAGAAACTCGTGAGCTTCCGGAAAGGGTAAGCGCGGCTTCGAACCTGGCCTGGACTCTGAGTGTTGTAGAAATCTCGACATCACAGTGGTTAAAGAAATAGAATCTTCCGTGACATACTTGGTGCCACTTTGTTTGACTAATTTTATATCGTAGTATTAAGGTCTAATTCCCACGGATTCTGAGACGTAGAGATCAGATATATCGCTTTTTGAACAAATTAGCCCTTAATGGAACTGAGAACTGTTTTCAGTCTCTACTAATCTCTTTATTTATTTTAAGTTCTACTATGATAGTGCTATATTCGATATATATTTTATTCTGCGACAGACTATTATGTGGAATACAAAAATAAGAGTGCCGAGATATGACAAGAACTCGAACCGCAGTTGGACTCCGAGCCCACCCGCGATTACACTTTCTGGTACTCAGCAATTTTTTGCTCTAACGGTTATCAGCGATTCAGTACCACTGTTTATAGATTTCACCTTTCCACCGAATTGATTACTTGTTTCTTCTTGTTTTAGACTTCTGATTAAGCTGACCATTTGACTACAATAGTGATGTAGTCTCAACCTCAGTGAACAGCTGACAATTGTGCTCATGCACCTGTTGAATAAAATACAAGAGTTATTTGTGCTTTCTTGCCGAATATTACCGTATGTTATTCAAAAATTGAAACAAATAAGGTAGGTGGTCTTCCAACTAAACATACGAGCGTCAATTTCATCCACACTTGTGCGCAGCAATAAACAGAAAACCAGTTCTCGACGATGTTTAGCTATGAGTTTTCCCTCGATTTTCGAGGAATCGGCATTTTTTCGCTGATTCCGTCTTGACTTCGCTCTTTCCGACGATGCCGAACCAATTATGGGTTAAATGAACACGAACTCCACCATTTGAGAAAACATTCAACTACTGTGAAGATCTTATACTTCAGTTGAAACAGAAAATATGTCTTGGTCTTCTCAAACCACTTCGAAGGCAGCATTTGTTTTCCGTAATTTTTGAATTTCGACTTTGAGCTTGAACTATGGAACGTGTCCTAATCTGTACATTTACTTACCTCATATGGAATTTTATTCACTTTGAGAAAGGTCTCGACCTTCAGACAGAACGGCGACATGTTGGGAATCGTCTTGCTACGAGGAAACTGATACAAGTAGACAACATCATGTTTCCAATCGCTCTTCCGTAACTGAAATTTGCGATGATTCCTGTTTAAGAAAACCGCTTTTGAAGTTTTACCCATGAAGAATGTTAGATATAGTTCAAATATTACGTTGTGGTGAATTTCTCATAAAAACAAATGGAGGTCATCGCTACATATAAACCGACGCGCATTGGCTCCAATGCGTACGTCGTAGTGGGATAGCTTAGAGAAAGCTGTTCATTTCTGGCCTGATATGCCTCTGTATCCAAGCGATAGTTTTTCCAATAGAGACCTTTGTGTCTAGAAGTGAACTGGGAATATCTGTATTCCGCAGTTTATAGTTAACGAAGGAAAACTTTGAAGGTAACTATTTTTAGAAGTCGTCTTCTCCTGATCGAAACTTGATTGTCAAAAGTTCAAATCCCCTTCCCGTGGTCAAATTCTGGTTGCCTTTGTGCCTTCTTAACTGGGAATTCATATTATGGACATGGATTGGCAATGTTCCATCTCTCTCATACATCTCAACACTCTCTAAAGTGATTAACTCATTTTTACACGAGCATACATTTTATCTGCATTTTATGTTTTCACTTCAGTACCCTAAACATACTGCAAAATAATATAGTATCACCTGATCATTTCTCTTGTAGAGGAGGAATTTCGCGACAACAACGACCACCGCGAACAACACAGCGACGCATACCCAACACGTCATCTCCGACGTCGAAACACTAACGAAAAAGCAGTCGGAGGCTTAGACAGTAAACAACAAGCAACAGTATGAATAATTCACTTCACGACGAGGGGCGTGACTGCCCGCCCATAACTGATCGAATTTCGAAATTGCCACGACGGCGACGAACATGGCACTAACCACATGTTGGAAACCCGCTTTAAAGAATTCCGTGGACTTTTTTATGGGTTTCAGCTGCCGTAATCACTTTTGTATATCCATGACTTATTATTACTTGAGTACTCGAAATATCCATTGAGCATTCGTTATTCATGGGTATCAGACACCACAAATGCCTAGATAAAAACTACTGAAGGTGGTTATCGTTTCCCATCGACCTATGTGCTATCTCTAAACGCAGTATGCAAGACTGGCTTATAGAAATGGAAAAGCTACCAAGTTGACGCTACTGTGGTGGTAGCCCCACTATGCCGACATCAGCTGACTAGTAAGAAAGATTTGGCTTTTATTCTTTGCCGGGCGGATCTTTGTATTATTTCCAGTTCGAGCCTCAATCTTAGGTAATCAAAATACTGTGAGGAAATAAGTCTATCCAAAACAATCGATAGATATCTAAGTAAGACTTTAGCAAGATTTTAAATCGAAAGTGGCGTCAAGGAGCAGTAGGGAATAACTTTTCCAATTAGTACTGCAAAAGGATTAGAAAGTTAAACCGAAAACTGGTGTATTCGCAGTGAGGTATCAGCTCTGATCAATTGTCTGAAATGAGCGCAGGTTATTACAAAAGTTGTTGCTTTATCAATGCTTTTACAAAGAGAGCGCAATCCTCTTTCAATGGCTCGGCGTAAACAAATTCTATCGGCCATACAAAGGAAAGCTAGTGAGACAATGAAGATGATGCACGCTTCCAGCCCACCTGCTGTTTGCCTAATTCGGAGTGTTTTCACACTCTGTGCAAGAACAGCACAACAAATACATCAACATGATAATCGCACAATGCATTCAAAAAAAAGGACGAGATAGAGAATGGTCTCTATGGATTATTTCTCCACATGGGGAGCGCAGGTGAACTTATACAACGAATGCTCTTCGCCACAGAATGGAGGCCACCGCTTATAACGACATGTCACCAGTTTTGTTATCTTTCCTACCGAGCTTATCGCTGCATTAACAAGAATTGGTGACCTTTGTAACTTTCTAAGTGCAGCAAATGTGGCACTTCTACTACTTTACTAAATCACTATTGCTTTCACTGTCGATATGTCATATGTCCACTCTCCTCCTGAGACCCTTACGTTGCCAGTCGATGAGAAATCACACAGCACACCGTCCTAATAGAATCGGGCCCGAACGTATAAACAACTCACCACCTGACTTCATAAACACACACAGTCCTTTGCCAGTTTACTACAAGAATTTAAGGCTTCAATTCGGTGAGTAACCAACAGGAGATTGTTATAGTGCACAAAAAGATATCATCGAGTGAGATACGATATCGGCAACCATCGCATTGTGACTACCTGTCGGTCGTCAACAAGCTCTCAACTTAAACGGTCGTCAACAGGATTGAATGGTGGTTACTCATTCAAACAAGCAAAGTATCGAAAGGATCCATCAAGAAGATAGATCACTATCCACTCGACATTTAAAATCACCAACATGCTGCCAAAATATGAAGACTGCTTCGTCTTAATTCCACCGATTTTAAAGTGCTTTTGTTCAGTTCGAATAGATTAAGCTATGGAAGCTTTGCATAGCGTTTTCAGCGCACTATCGCTGCGGTCGTTGGGTATCTCGAATTACAGATGTAAGGAAAAAAGTCCGGTATCCTACCTTCATGTGTGATCTAATACATGAAAAATATAGGAACAGCTTTTGAAATTCGCGTGAAATGTTGAGTACATGCTAACTTCAAGACGTCACCACTTTCAGTTACATTGAAGACCTTGCATTCCGATGCTGGACTGCAACATCCGAATAAAAGTGAAAATTGCACGCAAGATATATTCCTGTTCCTTAGCGTTTAATGCTACTGCTGGACCGATTGTGGAATTCTTTTCCGTGGCTGTTATCTAATTCTAAAATCAAAGCATAAGAGATAAAGTTATCAGTGTTAGCTAATCTTATTGTGATGATAGCCAATGCTTCTTGCAAACCCTTGTGGGTTAGTAGGTGAACAAGTGAGCATTTCCGACAAGGTAAGTAGGTGATACTTTTGGTATTCTCTGAATGAGTCTGAAGAGAAGACGAGCTGAATTGCCTTGGATGCACATGTCAGACAAAAATGCCATCTGTGTGCTAGTGGCGACCGTATTGGTTTACTGTACTACACCTTTCTACCCTATAATCAAAGCTTCTTATACTTTGATCTTCAGTAGACGATTTCAAAAAAACCACTTGTGGATTTACCGCTAAAACATGTGAGTGCTGAAGAACTGAAGAACTATGAGAGATAGAGCGATGCTTTAATAATTTAGTTCGGAAAGGTAGTTACAAAGGTCTCTATATGTGGAGCGTACCGCTTGCTCCGCTTTGTCTTTCTTTTGCAGCGCTCTTATAGAAGTCTAAACGCAGCACCATCTATTAATTACCTGTATAAAATGTGTCACCTGCCACCCTGTTAATTGTCGAATGGTATGAGCCGGAGCCAGTAAATCTTCAATTTCTTTCTAATTCATTGGGTATGGAACAAATCTTCTGAAGAATTACAGCTTAAAGAGTCTTCCTTCGTTTTGAGCTGCTTAACTTCGAGGGGAAGATTAGAAAAGGCTACAAAAAGCACATTGTCCATAAACAGTGAACAATCTAACCTAAGAAAGTCTTAATATATTTAAACGATTAGTCCTTCTACGCGAGTTGATTTCCACCCTAACGTGCCCAAAAATTGTTGTGCTTGCCAGCTTTAAATAAACATATCGCCGGTCGCAGTGAACTTCAAAGAACTTCACTAGTTGAAACAAAAACCACTAAAATACAAAAAAAACTGTAAAACTTTTATGTCTTTTTAAAAAGTAAACTATTATCAAAATGCAAGTGTACATTAGGCTTCCCAAAGTTTTGTAGAACACGGAATACTCAGAGGGTGTAGGAAGCACTGGAAAGCTTACTTGCGCTCCCCTTAGTGTAACCCAATCTGAACTTATACCATAACGTTCATCTTTTACCTAGTGTTTCCCAATTTTTTCACAAAAGAGTATTACGTGAAATACAACCCCAGTGCCCTTACGGTGCTGTCAGCAATCACCCACTGAAGGGAATTATCTGGAAATTGCAGATCAGTATTTAAATACAGTCTGAAAATGAGGCTTGAAAATGAGGCTTTTAGCACAAGCACTCAACTGGCCAATACTTCTTAGGTTATACGTTACTAAGATTCAGCCACAGATGATTATGATAATAAGGTCGTTGCCAAGAAGAAAAAGAGAAAATGGTTGTATCTTGCTGAACTCATTCTCAGTTTGGAAGACCCCGATGTGTGACACAACCGCTGTTGCAGTGCCATTAGAGACCCAGGAACACCGCAAAGCCATAACTGAGACACTGAGCAACTGGAGCGAGAAGGAGAGACAGCAAATATAAACAAAGAAGAAAACTTAGAACAAGAAAAAACCTTTCACTGAAAACGTCAAGCGCAGGATATGTGGTACATGCGTTATTAATCGAATACAAAGAGGTTCAGCTATGAAGCCTGAACGACGAAATAAGCAGCCGAAAAAAAATGGGTGATATACTACTTGTATTGTGAAGAATATTCTAATATATTAAAAACAAAACTGCTCATATATATATATATATCTCGCAAGTAAACAGGAATAATTTGCTTTTTAAACTTTGAATAGACAAAAACACCTATGTTTACTCCAAAGGCTTACTGCCTCATTATGGCTACGAGGTGTTCCTGGCTGGTGGAATATCTACTACGGAGGGTCGATAGCACTAACACGGCTTTACAGCCCGAATAAGAGTCCATTGTCTCCATTCGGAACCCAGTTAAGAGTAAGCCAGCATCCATTACCAGGAATCACTGCCATCCTGCAACTAAATCAGTCGTGTGGTAGCAAATCTTTCCCTCTAATCCACAAGGACGGCGGCTTCCAGGGTGGAGATGACGAAGTTTAGGCTAAGTTGACCTCAGGGCTCCAAGGAACTCTATTGCTTAAACAGTAAATCTCCAGCCCCAGTATCTCGCACACTGGGTGCTTCCGTCTACGACGTCGGGTGCCGAGACAACTGATGAGAGGAGATCAAAACTCGGGTTTCACATGGTCATTTGGAAGCCGACAAAACAAGCATGCTGTTACACACCATGGAGGCTGCTTCTTGCTCTGTAACATTAAGAAAGACTCTTCAGACACCGATCTCTTCGCTCCTCTCGAGGACACCAGTCACGGCAATTTCCACATAG